GGTGGAAGCTCTCCTGCAGCCCCCCAATTGCCCCCTCTCCCCAGATGGCAGCCTGCGGCAAGTGCAGCCGGGCTGATGGCCGAGTGGTGTGATGTGCCCAGTGTGGGTACTCCGGGCACTCCAAGCCAGGACTGCTTTGCAAGCGGGACACCCCTGAGAGCTGTCTGTCCGGGGTGGGGGTCGGGACCCTTTAAGCACAGCCCTCGGCTAGCTTGAGACAGCATCTCCACGCTCTAAGTCCTCCTCTGATGCCCTGCTGGCACTGCTTCCAGCCATCCTTAAGCCTGGTTCAGGGTCCACTTAATGTGGACATGCTAGTTCGAATTAGCAAAACGCTAATTCGAACTAATTTTTTAGTCTGGATCCGTTAGTTCGAATTAGCTTAGTTCGAATTAACTAATTCAAACTAAGTTAGTTCGAATTAACATTGTAGTGTAGACGTACCCTAAGTGTGCTAAGAAAGATGTCACATTAGTCCTACTAAGAGATTTGTTTTTGTTTCTTGGCACCTGAACATTAGGAACGGGACTAAAACAATAATTCATTTCATATTAAATCGAATAATAATTTCCAGTAACTATTAATTACCTGATTCATTCCAAAATGGAGACCCAGTTCCCTGGATTATCTAGTTTCTTTAATGCACACTTTTTTCCATAAAATCAGTACATAGCTTTTGCTATGTACAGTGTAGCTACAAAAGGCCTAAAGAGGGATCAACTTTCCATTCAAATTATATGCATCAACTGCTTTCCATCTTGAGCTTTACTTTAAGACTAAAGAAATCAGTGATTTCACTCATGCAAAAGTTAGTTTTTATGATTTTAAAGTAAAGTCTTTAATACAATCTGTAGACATATCTTTTATCAAAAAAGATGCTATGTAAAATAAATTACACACAGAGATCTGTCAGACCATGCCTAAGTTAAAAGGAATAATGTAGGTCTGACTCTAACAATTAGCCAGCCAGCCAGTTAAGGGATTATGCAGTTGCAGTGGGAAAGGATAAAAAAAATCCTCAAACTCCAGGAGAACATAATCCTTTTTGATTTAAAGGGATTTTAACATTAATCACAAAGGGCACATCTGTCACTAGTTGTGCTGTATAAAACTGCTGTTATTGTTTCCTTTCACTCACTGTGGAAGTGGAGCAAAAAACAGTCACTTTGGTTTCTTCATCAACATTTTGAGATGAGTGATTAAAATGGAAGAGATACTAGATACTGTCTGCAAAATACAGGACGATGTAGCACTTTAAAGACTAACAAGATGGTTTATTAGATGATGAGCTTTCGTAGGCCAGACCCACTTCCTCAGATCAAATAGTGGAAGAAACTAGTCACAACCGTAAAGACTTGTTAGTCTTTAAAGTGCTACATTGTCCTGCATTTTGCTTCAGCTACCCCAGACTAACACGGCTACATCTCTATCACTAGATACTGTCTGTTATCTATGTTCTAACACTCCTTGTTGTGCTGTTCCTTCAGCTTTCTCAGCACTGTGTTTCCAGATCTCCCTTGGAATATTGTTCAGCATTTCAGGAAATAAAAGAGATACAATTTCAGATATGGCATGATTATTTATTGTGAGTATGCTGTTTGAAATTTGCTTAGTGCTAATGTTAAAGAAATGCTGGGAGACTGGTTATTCAAGTACAAAGAAAGCTATTTCCAAACAATCAAGGGAGGCAAGAAAATATCAGAGAGCAAGTATATTTTTCATAGTCATTTATGGTATGGTGAGTTCTCCACAAAAGAAATACAGCCTTGTTTGACATCTAATTTCCATTCAGCCTTCATTATAACATGAGCGATTAACAGTGCAGACATGTTTCCAGCAATATATCTACACTGTAAATGGTCATGTCACACTTAGGGCTGTACCTACTTAATTTGCTGTCTCAAAAGCAGTAAACAACATCTGAAAGAGTGGTGCTAAATTTTCATAAGTTTGTGTAAGCAAGATAATGTGGAATGAGAAGCATAATCCCACATCACACTTTTCTATGCATGAAGAAAACTGGCTCTTCTCTCTAAGGCAGTGTTTCCCAAATGGTGTTCTGGGGAACCCCAGGGTTCCGTGAAGTGAAAATAAGGGTTCCACGAGAAAATTCCATTACAATAACATGTTATTATTTAAAAAATAATAATTAATATTAAGCATTTATGAATTTTATTGAAAACAATTTTCATTTGTGTTGATCTCATGACCTTGTTTAGCATTTGTTTATTATTATCCTTACTTATTTGTGGTCTACTTTTTCAGCTCCATATATAAGACTGCTATTAGGGATTTCACAAAATTCTTTTGAGTTTAAAAGGGTTCCGTGGCCAAATAAAATTGGGAAACACTGCTCTAAGGCAACCAACCAATTGTGCAATGGTTTCCAAAAAAAGACTGCAGAGCTGTAATTTTTGTGCTAAAAATCTGTTACTTTTTTTTTAGGGGCTGGCTGAAAACAATAATTTGACTCTTAGAATGTCTCAGAAGGGTAGCTGTGTTCGTCTGTAACTTTAAAAACATTAAGTAGTTCTGTGGTTCCTTAGAGACTAAAAAAACGATATAGTATCATGAGCTCAAGTGGGTCTTAGCAATGAAAGTTATGTTTTTTTGTTTTTTGGGTTTTTTTTGGCTAGTCTTTAAGGCTACGTCTAGACAGAATTGCTTTTTCGGGATACTGGAAATAGCCCGAAAGAGCCATGCCACATCTAAGGAATGTGTCTGTTTTTTCGAAATTTTTTTCAAAAGAATGAACGTGCTCTTTTGCCATCCCTGTAAACCTCGTTATACGAGGAATAAAGGATGGCTCGAAAGAGCACTTTTTTCCTAAATTTGGTGTCACATAGACATACCAAATTTCAAAAGAGCCTCTTTCAAAAGTAAATTGAAAAGAAATTTGCGTACCACAAATTGAGTATCTTTATCCGATTTAACAATGCACTCTGGACATAGCCTGAGGTGCCAACTACTCGTTGTTTTTTACTTTTAAAATAATTTCTTAAAATAATTCCCAAACTCTGGCTAAAAAAAATGTGCGAGAGAGCGACACACACACACACACAGAGAAGAAGAAAACATCCCTACAGGAGCTAAAATATCCCTACTGGAGCTATCATGCAAATATTAAAGAAGTGTGAAGGGAGAGGACATTTTCTGTAGAGGCTGCTGTACCTCTCGATGCTATAACTCAGATTCTAACTAATGTAGCTGAAGCTCCTGTAGTAGTCCTGTCTCAGCACCTTAATAACTGCTAGCTGTCCTGCCTTGAATTTACTCCTATTTTTAATTTGCGTTGGAAGGGTAACATAGGAAACAAACCACATTGCACCCTTATCTGGAAGGATCCTCACTGTGGATATGAGAACAGTTTATTTTCCATGCTCATTCAATCTAATCTGTGACCATTCGTGCCAGTTGTGTAGGTGATTTTGTGATGCCACTGGGAACTTGACTTGATCACTATCATTTCACATAGACCACTAAAGAGCTGAAAGATAAGAATTTTGATCACTTTCCAAACCTTTTCCCTGAAGCAGACCAGAAAAAAAATCCTGGCATCCCATTACCAATTCTTTGAGGTATTAAGGCATCCAATTTGTATACAGTCTAGGGGGTACAGCAACCAACTACAAGTCAAGAAGCATATTACTAACTCTGGTACAATTTTCTTGTATGTCCTTAGGCAAGTCCCTTCATCATTCTGCACCTTGGTTTCCCCATCTATAGGCATACCCAGCCCTACATTAACAAAATAAACGTATCATTTTTTTTACTAGCATGTGAAGTGTAGTGATATAACAAAAAGATGTCGAGCTGGCATCTGCTTTTCATTCCTCTGTTGGGTTAGATTGTTTTGGGGAAGGGCATCATGCAGAGCAGTTTGTTTACATGTGGGCCTCATCTAGGGGCAGGACCCAAAAATGACTGGGGGGATGTGGTTGCACGTGGATCACTTGAGGGTGTGATCTGAAGATGACAGGACAGCTGGGATGGGGACTGCTCAGAGGTCAGGATGTAGCCTGCTGGGTCATTCTTGCTGGTGATGCTACAAGGCTGGGAAGACCATAGCATGACTCCCAGTTGCTGGGGAGTTTGAGGCATTCAAGTCCCTGATATAATGAATTCAGGTCCCCATGCAGTGGGTTTGACAGTCAATCACTCACTAGAGCAGAACTACGCAGTGAGCCCCTGGTTGCCTGTGCTGTGAGGGGGGAGGCTGCAAGGTTCTGCTCAGCTGGGACACAGGGAGGGAGTTTCAGTCCCTGATAGCACATCCTGATCAGAGCTGGGGCTAGGAAATCCCTTGCAAAGGCTCCTCCTGGCCCTGGTGCTCTTTGTCCTTACCTGAGTGACCGGAAGCAGTCAGAGTTGCATTTTGGCCCTAAAGGTGCAATAATCTAAACCTGCTCTGTGAAGGAGCAAGTCCTTAGAGCACTCATTGCTACAGCATCTGGCCACATTAGAGATCAAAGGAAACAATTTTGAATTTTCAACTCAAAACTCAGCCCAGAGAAAAAAGTTCGTCCCTCACTCACCTCTCCTTTTGGAGGGGTAGATGAGATGTGGCAGGAAACGTTTTGAAGGTTTAACCCACAGTGTTAATGAGATGGAAAGAATGCAGCCAAGAGGATAGGAATGCAAAAAGAGGGCACTTACTGGTCTCTCTCCATTTTAATCAGCTCGTCTTGTTTTTGAAGAAGAAGCCAAAGTGACTGTTTTGTGCTGTACTTCTACAGAGGCTAAAGGGAACCAGAGAGAGGCATTGTACATTCTACAGCAAATGACAGATGTGCCCTTCATGATTAAAGTTAAAACCATTTTGAATCAAAAGGATTGTGCTCCCCCTTCATTGAATTTTGTAATCTCCCAATGAAATTGCTGCTTCCCTTAAGTGGCCGATGACATGATTAGTGGACTCTGACATACAGTTGGTTTCCTTTTAATTAAGTGCTTCTTTAGCAAACACAACTTCTTTAGCCAAGTTATATGTTGAAACAGGTGTGTGTGCGCGGGGGGCTTTGGCCATCTCCAGAGTTGGCAGAACGTCCATGAGTTTTATAAACTCCCCTCAAGTTCTAAGGCAAGGACATGTGTCCATCCCTGCTCATCACAGAGGAAGAAAATAGTCCTTGTGAAGAGAGCCAGTTGAAAAAGGGAAAAACTCAATGAAAACTTGAAAGGCTTCAGGGTTAGTGAATTAGCTGTTCATTTCATTCCGTGCTGATCAAATCCCATTCTAACATTATGCTGGAGTCCAAAGGCTGACCCCAATACTGAGGAGCCCCTCATCAAGACCTCTGTAACCCTTGTAGGCTGAAATCAGCTGGCTGAATGAGGAGGAATCTTAACACAGATTATTCTGTTTGGCTGATATAGAATCATAGAATAATAGGACTGGAAGGGACCTCGAGTGGTCATCGAGTCCAGCCCCCCGCCCTCAAGGCAGGACCAAGCTCCACCTACACCATCCCTGACAGATGTCTGTCTAACCTGTTCTTAAATATCTCCAGAGAGGGAGATTCCACCACCTCCCTTGGCAATTTATTCCAATATTTGACCACCCTGACAGTTAGGAATTTTTCCTAATGTCCAATCTAAACCTCCCTTGCTGCACTTTAAGCCCATTACTCCTTGTCCTGTCCTCAGAAACCAAGAGGAACAAATTTTCTCCTTCCTCCTTGTGACACCCTTTTAGATATTTGAAAACCGCTATCATGTCCCCCCTTAATCTTCTTTTTTCCAAACTAAACGAGCCCAGTTCATGAAGCCTGGCTTCATAGGTCATGTTCTCTAAACCTTTAATCATTCTTGTCTCTCTAAACCTTTAATCATTCTTTGTTTAATGTGTGGATGTTTTAATATTTTTTACCTTCATTGCCAATAAAATAATCTTTAAACTTTTTATTCTTGCATGTACTAAGAGCCAATTAGTTGATACTAGTTTTGGTCTCTAATTATGTTGCTATTGTACCTTATGCAATTTAGTGTTCTTTTTTGGGTGGTTTGTTTTGTTTTATCTCCAAAGTAAGTCACTAACTTAAATTTTTAAATATATGCTTAATTAACAGACAAGATGTAATATATAATAGTACTTAAAGAGAATGCAGGGTTGATCTGCTATGTTTACTTACTTACTAGATAACTTTACTAGATAAGTTTACTTCCCTAAACAAGCCATTGTTTATAGCTAAGCTCCTTAAAAAGCAGTTCAAAAGTGACTACAACAAACACAAAATACATTAAACCATTCCAATGATATAAAAATATTTAATTTACCTTTTGAGACAGAATTATTAAGATACGGCTTCAATTGGTGCATCTGTTGTTTTGTGTTGGCTACTCAGTATCATTTTTGCACATGAATGGTAGATTTTACTAAACACACCAAACCCATGTAAATGGTCTACATTTATGTAAATCTGTCATTGATGTGTGAAGGGATAGTAGGCCCAAGGTGTATGTACACCAGGGATAGTTGCAGGTAAGGGTGGAGGCAAGACAGAAGGCAAGGGTTAACAGATAAATGCCAAGGGGAAATTAAGGGTAGAAGAGGAGGCATGGCAGACGGTTGGGGGAAAGGTAGAGGGCAGAAGATGGTGTTGTTATAATGAGGTTCAGCTCAGTTCAGCAGTGTGGAGGCTGCCAGCACAGAAGATAGCCAAGAGATACCATGGCATCTAGCTCTATGCTGCCTCCAGGGCCATATACATCTATTACAGGTCTCCCATAAGTCAAGCTATGGGTGTACAACATAAATTTTCAGCTGGGGCTAGAGATTGAGGCCACCTTGTATTCACCCAGCTGCAGTGACTCATTTCCTGTGAAGCTGGCCCTGGCTTCCTACTCTGAGTCTTGTAACTTGGTTCATGAGGCTATGAGTCACTGAGATCTCATGCACTGCATTGCAATGGGCCTCACTGCAATTTGTCCTATATGACCCGCCATTGGCTGGCTCAAATCTGAATGACATTGCCACCAAATAGAACAGGAACCACTGCTGCCGAGTGTGTGTTGGGAGGGCTCAATTTCCAACTCCGTCTCCCCCAAGACTGCCCCTTGACACCAGGCTGAGATTGGGATTGCAATGGCATGGCAGCAGGTATGACAATGAGTAAAATGAATGGTCATGGTAACATGTGACATACGTGTTTTATAACAGCTCAGAAATGTATACATTTAGAAACAAAGAATATAGGGTTATACTTATGGGATGAGGGACTCTATCCTGGGAAGCAGTGACTCTGAAAAAGACTTGAGGGTTATAGTGGATGATCAGCTGAACTTGACCTCTTTGGATAACACTGTGGCCAAAAGAGCTAATGCAATCTTGGGATGTAAATATAAACGGGACTATCATAGAGAGGTTATTTAACCTCTATGAAGGGGAGCTGACCACTACGCTGGGCCCCTGGGCAAAGTGTGGGGAAGGAGAGGCAGCTCTGTGCTCCCAGAAGAAATGGGACCTCAGGCAGAAGGGATGGGGCTGAGAACAGCCAGCCCTCATCATGCCTAGACTGCAGTGCTCCCCCCAGCACTGGGTGGATCATGCTGTGTGGTGCCCCTGCCTTCCCAGGCAGCCCTAAGAGCCACCTGGAATGCACTGCATGGCACTCCAGTGGTGATTTAGAGGGCTCTGGGCACTGGCTGCTTTGAATAACTGGATGCTAGGCAACTGCCCCTTTTGCCCCTCCTCTTCCCCTCCTGCCCCCGTCAGCAGGCCTGCCTCTGTGTTTGGTAGTGGTGCAAGTCCTGCGGAAGTATTGTGTCCAGTTCAGGTGCGCAAAAGTCAAGCAGGGTGTAGATAAATTGGAGAGGGTTCACAGAAGCGCTATGAGAATGCTTAAAGGATTAGAAAGCATGCCCGAGAGTGACAGACTCCAGGAGCTCAAGTGTTTAGCTTAATAAAGAAAAGGTTAAGGAAGACTGTGATCAAGTCATATCAGTACCTACATGGGGAGCAAATATTTAATAATGAACTCTTCACTATAGCAATGAAAGGTATAACCTGATTCAATGGCTAAAAGTTAAAGCTACACAAATTAGACTGTAACAGAGTGCACTTTTTAACAATGAGGGAAATTAGAACAATGTACCAAGGTCATGTTGGATTCTCCATCTCTGACCATTTTCAAATCAAATTTAGATATTTTTCTAAATGATTTGGTCTAGGAATTATTTTGAGGATGTTCTATGGCCTGTGATCTGCACTAGGGGAGCATAGTGGTCCCTTCTGGCTTCATAATCTTTGAATAATTGAAAGTGGCACCACCAATGACTCCCCATCTTCCCTGGTTGCAAAACCCAGCTCTACCACTATGTACAATGATTTGTGTGAACTAAACTGCATTCATACAAAGGGATGTGAATTGATGCCTTGATGAAATAATTCTCCATAAACTAGAGTTCCTGCAGAAACAATATGTTTTACAGTTTCAGTGATAACAGAGACATGACTCAAAATATTTCTCAAGGCAGTGCTGATTGTTCACAAACATAAGGGGACATGTTAAATTAATTGCCTTACTGAGTACAAACAAGCCTGGAAATATTGGTGTTCTGTAAAGATATAGTCAGGGTACATACAATAGTAGATCAATTCTATCAGGCAGTTAAATATTTGGTATCATATAAAGAAGAAAATTGTAGCAGCATTACAGATTTGGTTAAGGCCTTAATACAAATAATGTTGCTTCTTGTTACATATACTCTATTTCAGCAAACTTTTGTCAGGATGTGGTGACATGGACAGAGATGATGCTATTTATCATGGTAGCATCACTTTCCCACATAGAACGTGTTTCTGGACTAGGCTCACCATCACAGATTGGTAGGAGTATGAAACATAGAATGACTTGGGTGGGTTTGTTACAGCCAAGAACTGTCAAATGTGGGAAGCCACATTCCTGGAGCTAAGAATGGAGCTTGCTCATCTTGTGAGCATCAGCATACCCTAATGAGAAAGACAAGACCACTACAGATGCACTTTGTGATCACCCTATGCTATCCCCAGTTTGCTGGCAATCAGCCTGAAGCTGGCAAATCCACAGCTGGCTCAGTGGTCAAGGAGGTCTGCAAAGTAATTAATGCTGTGCTAGCCACCAGTGCTGTAACAGTTGGAAAGAATCCTGGCAATAAATGGTAGAGTTTGTACAAGTGGAGTTCCTGAGTGTGCAGGTGTGTTTGATGGTATACATATATCATGTGCCTGCCATTTGACGCAAGCAAACATATTAAAGTGAAAGCAACCAGTCCATCATTATGTAGATCCTTTTGGATCACCATGGCGTGTTTGTAGATACATACACTGGATGCCTTAGCAAGGTGCCTGATGCCACAGTGTGCTGGAAGTCTGGCCTCCTTTAATCTAGGCAAGATGGCACATCATTCTGCCAGAGTAATGACGCAGTTCTCAGTGGGTGCCCTTTGTAATTTTAGGTAACTGAGCTCTAAATTCTGATATCCTAGTTTATGATGGATTTTCCTGATTTGTGATAACTGTGCAGGAGATATATGTACAGATACATGTTGAGTAGATGCCAGATGGTGATGGACCAAATAAAAGGGCATCTTTTTCTAGTGTATGGTCCTCTATGGAATATACCATACGGGATGTCTTGTGCACTCATAGTCTCAAGCTGCTATATGGCACGCTGGGGGTGTTGCATTGAAATCAATGTAGTATTTATGCATGAATAAAATGAAGTAATACTCTCTTCTGTTTACTGAAGGTTAAAGCATGTGGGTAGATCCACTGCACTGACACAATAGAAAAGTATGCAAAAATCAGTTCAACCTTCCCCTCCCATGCAGATGCAACATAAAATCTTAATATGCTGTCTCACAAATAATGAAACTGTACATCATTAGTGTCTGTGTTCTCTTTCTCCCACAGGGCAGAGATGTGGAGTGCATCAGATATCGCTGATGATGTTTGGGTCCATGGTTAATTGTATGGCTCTCCAGTCCTTCTTTGTTCATAGTATGTAGGATATGATGATAATGCGAAAATGAAGCCACAAGACTGGGAACCAATGGGATGATGGTTTGTGTAGGAGAAGATGATGTTATTCACCTTGTGCAGTAACAATGGTTCTTCAAGATATGTGCTCCACTCAGGTCTCAGTGCATCCTCACACCAGAGATCGGAGATTTTTGTCTAGCAGCGCCTTCCTGCATGCTCAGTCACCCTCTCGCACTGTTTTCATCCATTGGCTGCACATATCGTGTGGGTTCCCCTCTGTTCCTTTTCTGCCAGAAATCCTTTAATGGACTCCAAGTTGTGGAGAGGAAGGAAGGGTAGTGGAGCACCCACAGGGGCACACATCTCAAAGAATCATCGTTATTGCACAAGGTGAGTAACTTCTTCTTCTCCTTCAAGTGGTGTCTCTGTGGGAGGTTCACTCAGGTGACTAGCCAGCAGTACCTGCAGCTCGTGGTGTTGGGTCTTGCAGTTAGTTGTGAGAAGAGGCAAGGACTGCATCAGCTATGGTGGTGGTAGGTATGGGTCCCTGCTGCAGAGCATAGTGTTGTGCAAAGATGTGATGCAAAGACGACATCGCTGCTTTACAGATATCTGTGAGGGATACATTACAGTAAAGCAGTTGCTGTGACCATTGCATGAATGGAATGTGCACTGATAGTCTGAGATGGTTCCCTCCTGTGAAGCCAGTACGAGGTATATATGCAACTGGCAATCAGCTTGGTGTGGAGATGGCTGTTCCCCTGTGGAGACCGGAGATAGAAATGAAAAGTCTGTCTGATTTCCTGAATTCCTTGGTCCTATCTATGTAGAATGCAAGGGCTCGTTGTGAGTCCAGAGTATGTATCATCGCTTCCCTCGGGGAGCTATGGGATTTTGGAAAGTAGGTGGGCAAATAAAGGGCTCATTAATATGGAAGTCTGATACAACTTTAGGTAGGAACTTTGGGTGAGGTCTGAGGATGATTTATCCTTGATAAAAATAGTATTTGGTGTCTGAGCCATTAGGGCTGCAATTTCGCTTACCTTTCTGGCAGACGTTATTGCCACAATAAAGGCCACTTTCATAGCTAGATATTGCAGAGAGGCAGTAGCTAGTGGTTCAGAGGGTGGTCTGGTGATTGTGCCAAGCATAAGGTTTAAATCCAAAAGTGGCACTGATGAACATGAATTTGGGCATGTCTTTTGCAAATCCACTAAAAAGTGCTTCGTGATGGGATGAGTGAAGAGTGAGACGTTGTCCACTGATTTGTGGAAATCTGTGATGGCGGACACGTGGACATGAATGGAGATGATAGAGAGGCCTGCATCATGAAGGTCCATCAGGAATTCAAGTATGGTAGATATCAGAACAGTATTTGGTCGTAACTGACATTGGCCACACCACTCTTGAAATTGTCTCCATTTGTTTTGGTAGGTATACCTCATAGAGGAGCGCTGACTGTTTAGGATGAGCTGCTTTACTCTCTCATAATGGGTAAGTTCTTCATTCTGGAACCATGAAAAAGCCATGCTGTGAGTCTGAGGGCCCTCAGGTTGGGGTAGAGAGTTTTGCCTCGATGGTGGGTCAGCAAGTGGGGGCTGGTGGGCAGGGGAATCGGGTCAGTACTTGATAGATGATGCAGGTAGGGAAACCATGGTTGTCTTAGCCAGTAGGGCACTATTAGAATCACTGTGGCTTGGTCTGTGTGAATCTTATTGATCACCCTGGAGAGCAAGGAAATCCGTGGAAAGGCATACAGAAGGGGAGCAGTCCAGGGTATGATGAAAGCGTGTCTCTCCAAACTCTTGTCTCAATCTTCTCAGGAGCAGAAGCACTGGCATTTTAGTTGGCTGCCGTGGCTAATAAGTCTATGACTGGGAACTCCCATTGCTGGAAGACTGGGAGGATGACACTGAAGCTGAGCTCCCACTCATGCTGTTCTGAGAAGTGTCTGGTCAGCTTGTCCACAGTGATGTTCTGTCGGCCTGGTATATACATTGCGGTATATACATCTGCCTCAGACGAGGGGAAGGAAGTGTGCACATGCATTGCGGATAGCCCTGCGTTCTAGAATGTTGATGACCATCTGCTCTGGACTGCATGCATGTCACAAGGGGCACCCCAACCTAATAGTGATGTGACAGTTGTGATCAACATTGATGGATCTAGGTGATGGAAGGGTACGCTCATGAGGAGGTTGTGTGGGGAGGTCCACCAGTTGAGAGATTGGAGAACTAATGGTGGAAGTGTAAGATGTCTTGCAAGGCTGTGTCGGTTGGGAATGTAACCTCACGAGAGAGACCATGAATGTGGCAGATGCCATGTGTCCCAGGATCTGAAGGCATGTACTGGCAGTCATGAAGGGGGAATGTATGACTCTGTTGGTAAGGTCACATAATGTCTGAAAATTATGTAGAGAAAGGTAGGCTCTGGCTGTCACAGCATCTAAGAATGCCCCAATAAACTCTATCTCCTGGGTTGGCTCAAGAGTGGATTTCTGAATGTTTTTGAGTAGATCCAAGTGAGAGAAGCAATCCTTGGTGGTATTTGTCATGACTAATGTTTGCTGGAGTAAAGAACCTTTGATTAACCAGTCATCCGGCTGAAATGTTGAAAAATAGCCATGGAGAGTCCGAAAGGGACGATTCAATACTGGTAGTGGTCTTTGCCTACCATAAATCTGAGAAACCTCCCGTGTGCAGAATGTATCATTATATGAAAATATATGTCTTCGAAAGCTCAGAAACAGTCCCCCTTGTCTAGTGCAGGAATAATAGTTCCCAGAGTCACCATTTGGAACTTGTTGTTGCATATGAACTTGTTGAGCTTCCTGAGAGCCAAAATGTGCCTCCAACTCCCTGTTTTTTTTTTTGTTTTTTTTTGTTTTTTTTTGTTTTTTGGTAGCTAGGAAGTAGTTGGAATAAAACCCTCTTCCTTGAAATTCTGGAGGGAGCAGCTCTACTGCCCCAGGCTGAATAGTTTTTGTACCTTTATTCATAGAAGGGGCTCCATAAGAAGGGTCCCTGAAGAGGGGCAGGGAAGTGTTTGGGTAGAGATCATAGAAGTAAAGGGGATTGTGTAGCCAGTATTGATGATCTCGAGAACCCACTTGTCCATAGAGATGAGTAGCCATTGGTGACAAAAGGAGTTCAGAAGGTGGTGGAAAATAGGAGTGGTATGCACTGGATTGCTGGGATGGTCGCTCAGACCCTCTACTACATCCTCAAATTTGCTGTTTGGTCATGGTGAATTAGTTATTTGGAGGACTGATTGTGTTGCTCCCTTGTTCTGTTGGACCGTTGTTTGTGTCTGTGATTGTATGCCGTCTGCTGCTGTCTCCAGCCTCTGTATTCAGTATTCCATGGTATTCCATTCTGATATGAAGTGTACCTGTGTCTCCTATTAGGCAGGGTGTACATGCCTAAGGTTCATAGTGTGGTATGGGAGTCCTTCATTGAATGGAGGACTTCATCCATCTTGGCAGCAAAGAATTGGTTCATGTTGAAGTGGACGTCTTCTACCAGAGGGTGCATCTACACTGCACCCTTAGCTCAAAATAAGCTCAAAATATTCAATTTCAGTGCAATGTAAGATCTACCTCAAACCCGAATACCCTTGCCCCACTTCCTTCCTGCCCCTTCTTTGAGGCCCTGCCCCTCATCCACCTCTTCTCTGAGGCCTCACCCTGCTCACTCCATCCTCTTCCTCCCCCATCTTCATTCATTTTCACTAGGCTGGGGTAAGGGGTTGAGGTCCAGGCTTTGGCCTTGGGCCAAAGGGTTTGGCATGTGGGAGGGACTCCGGGCTTAGCCCAAGGCAGGGGATTGGGGTCCAGGAGGGGTTTCAGAGTGCAAGCTCTGGGAAGGAGTTTTGATGTAGGGGGACTCGTGTCTGGGACAAGGGGATGGGTGCAGGAGGAGGTTCAGTGCTGGGACAGGGGTTCAGGAAGCAGGTTCTGGGTGGGCACTGTTTAACTGAGATGGTTTACAGGTGTTGGAGTAGTGGAGTTAAAGCAGGGGTACTCCTGCCCTGGCCCTGGACCACTCTTGAAAGCAGTTGGCATTTACAGCAATAGCTCCATGATGCCATGTGCTTCCCCTCATCTACTGACACTGAGCCCACAGCTTCTGTTGGCCACAGTCCCCGTTATTGACCAATGGGAGCTGTAGGAGCGGTGTCTGCAGGCAAGGACAGCATGTGGAGATCCCCTGCTCTGCCTTTCTCAGGGGCTGCTGGGACATGCCAGCCACATCCAGGAGCAGGAGTTACCACAGGGATAATGACTCCAGCCATGACAGGTTAAGCATTTTAGAACTCACTACTCAAATAATTAAATGTAAGTGTAAGAGAGAAATGAAAATGATTAAATGCACAGACCAGTTAAAACCCCAAAATAATACACTTTGCAAGCAGTAAAAGAAATAACAATCCCCCATGTGTGTGTTGGGTCAAGAAATGCGAGGGAAGGACAGTGTGTGAGTGACAGAAATTTGCATTGCCAAGCCCCTTCCATCCCCTTCTCTCTGTGTGGAGATAGAGTACAAGAGTGGGGGGAGAAGGCACAACCTGACATCAGTGCCCCTCCTTCTCCCTCCCACACCCAGCACAGCAAGCAGCAGATTCCAGGGGGGCAGCTCTAAAGCAGAGGGCAGGAGTAGCATGACTGTGGGTGGAGGACTGAAGTGCCAGCTCTTGGTAGCTTCCCAGCCAAACCAACCAAGATCACCTGAGTGGGGCTCCAAGATCTACTGGTAGATCCCAATCTACTGGTTGGTGACCACTGGTCTACACTGTGCCAAATTTCAAAATAAACCACTATTCTGAAATGTGCCTTAATCCTCATGGAGGGATGTCGGAATAGTGTGCTCATTATTTCGAAAAATATTTTGAAATAATGGGCATGCGCTCAAGGCACAGAATAGCTATTTTGGGATACCGTAAGTATCCTGAAATAGTGCGGCAGAATAGATATCTGGCCTAGTGGTTGGAGCAAGAGTCTAGTTAGACTTACATCTACATAGGATCTACTGATCCAGAAGAGAAGCCGTGGGTCAAAAGCAGAATCAGAGACCAAAGTGTATGCAAAAGACTTAGCCATGGCTGTAGTCAGAAGAATGAGTTGAAGGTGTGAGACAGACGTCAAAATCTGAGTGGCAGTCAGAGGGAGGAGCTGAGAGTTCTGCATCAGTGATCAGGAAGGAACTAAGTACTAGAGCAGGTATAGCCTGGGACAAAGCAAAGCCAGAGACAGTGAAGGGAGAGACAGGACCAAGTGCAGCTGCAAGGTAGGGATGTGTTGAGCAGTCATTGAACTACTGTTGATCCTCAGCTTAACTGTCTGTCTGCAGATTTCTGCAGCCTGTCAGGAGATGCAATCAATGAGACAGCTTCTATCTGGGTTAGGCACACTCACTGGGTTGCCAAGAGACTGGTCTGCTTATGGTTGGTCCCTGACATCAGGAAAGAAAAGTGTAAAAGCAGCAGAACAAAGAACAATGGGCTTAAAAAAGCAGACTTTAACAAACTCAGAGCAAGTAGTAGGTAAAGTCCCAATGGATGGGTGGTGGGGGCAGAGGAGTTCAGGAGAGTTAGCAGTTTCTTAGAGATACCATTACAGGCACAACAGCAAACTATCTCAATGTGAAGAAAAGACTTAAAAAAACAGTAAGAGGCCAATATGATTGCATCAGGAGCCCTTAAGTGATGCGGAAATCAAAAGGAATCCTACAAAAAGTAGACAAATTGTTAAGGATGAGTCAACTAAAAAATACAGCACAAGCATGTAGGGACAAAGGCTAAGGCATAAAGTGTCTTATACTTAGCAAGGGATATAAAGACAGTAAGGAGAGGTTCTATAAACACAGTAGCAACAAAAGTATGACACAAAGTTTAGGTCCATTACTGAATGTGGAAGGAGAGCTAATAATGGATGCTGAACTGTTACCATTTTGCTTCAGCCTTCCCTAATGAAGAGAATTGTGCCAGATGATTAACGTAATTAATATTAATAACAAAAGGGAAGGAACAGAGACCAAAACAGGAAAAGAATTAGTTAAATATTTAGATAAGTTAGATGTATTCAAGTTAGAAGGGCCTGATAAAATTCACTGCAGGATACTTAAGGAACTTGCTGAAGCAATCTCAGAACCATTAGTGAACTGAGAGCCCATGGAGACTGGGTGAGGTACCGAAAGACTGAAGAAGGGCAAACATAATACCTACATTTAAAAATTTAGATATCTGAAAAGATATCTAACAATCAATTTGTAAGCACCAAGAAGTGCCAACATGGATTTGTTAAGAAAAAATCATGCCACACCAAGCTTATTTACTTCTTTGGCAGGGTTACTGGTCTAGTGGATGGGGAGAAGTGTTTTACCTTGATTTACATAAAGACTTTGACACAATCCAACATTCTTATAAGCAAAGTAGGGAAATGTGGTCTGGATGAAATAACTATAAAGTGGATGCAGAATAAAGTGGTTGCAAAACTGTTCTCTAAAAGTATTTATTACTGATTTGCTTTCATACTGTATCTAGAATGTTGCCAGAGGGATTCACTGGCATTCACTAATCAGTATTTTAATGATTTACATATTGGAGTGCAAAGTAAGCTTATAAAATCTGTGGATGACAAAAAGCAGGGAGCACACTGGAGGACTTTATGAAATTAGAGAATTGGTGTGAAATCAGCAAGATGAAGTTCCATAAAGAAACATGCAAAGTGCTACACTTAAAAAGGAAAACTGAAATGAACAAAATGGGGAATAACTGGGTAACCTATATTACACCAGAAAATGATCTGGGAGTAATAGTGGATCACAAATTGAACATGAGCCAACAAAGTGGCACAATTGCAAAAAGGGTTAATATTGTGGGGTATATTAACAGGAGTGTCATATGTAAGACACTAGGGCTATGTCTAGACTGCAAGCCTCTTTCGAAAGAGAGCGTTTAGACTGCACGCGGAACTTTCGAAAAAGCAAGCCGCTTTTTCGAAAGAAAGCAGCAAGTGAGTCTGGATGCTCTCTTCCTAAAAAGCCCTGTTTGCTTTCAAGAACACCTTTTTTTGAAAGAGCACTTTCGAAAAAAGGCGTTCTTCCTCGTGGAATTAGGTTTACCACCGTCGAAAGAAAAGCCGCGTTCTTTCGATTTAATTTTGAAAGAACGTGGCTGCAGTCTAGACACAGGTGAAGCTTTTTCGAAAAAAGGCTACTTTTTTCGAAAAAACCCTTGAGTCTGGACACAGCCAGGAAGAATTGTTCTGTTTTACACGGTGCTGGTGATGCCTCAGCTGGAACATTGGGTCTAATTTTGGGCAGAGCCCTGTAGGAAAGATGTGGACAACTCCAAAAACGAGAGGACAACAACAAAAATGATAAGTGGCTTAGAAAACCAAGGAAAGGTTAAATATATTTGCCATATTTTGTTTTGAGGAAAGGAAATTTAAGGGGACCTGATAGCAGTCTTCAAAATATAGTATGGACTGTTATAAAGAGGACTGTGATCAATTGTTCTCCAATCTACCAAGAACAGGACAAAAAATAATTAGCTTAATTTGCAGCATGGGAGACCTAGATTAGATAGTAGGGGAAAAAGTTCTAACTATAAGACTAGTTAAGGTTTGGAATAGGGAGGTTGTGGAATCGCTATCATTAGAGGCTTTGAAGACAATCCCCTGTCAGGTATGGTCTAGGTTTACTTGGTGCTGCCTCAGCAGAAGTAGCTGGAGTAGGTGACCTCTTGGGTAGCCTTTCCAGCTCTGTATTTCTGTGAGTCTATGTTTTCTGGCACATACACAAGGAAGGCAGATAAATACACTTGCTAGAAAGTTGCAGTTTAACACTTTTTCTTTCTTCTTTCTTAGAATTACTTTCTTAGAATCACTTTTTCCCCCCTCCTTCAGTTTCCTGTTCTGCTTCCTTGGCTTTTTGGCTAGGCCTTTGTCCTCTCCCAATGCATTTGCCCTGTAGTATGGTATCATTATAGGGTATCATTATGCAACAGTCTTTACATATTATTTTAACCATAAATTCTGAAGCTTTTCACGTACCGAAAGCGATCTTTGGGATCTCCCACCCCTTGGCCCCTTTGAAACTGTCTCAGAGGCTCTTGCTAGAGCAGGAGTGGGGAACCTTTTTTGGGTCAGGGCCACTAACCCACAGAAAAATCAGTCAGAGGCTGCACACTAGTGAGAAGCCAAAAAACAAACCCAACCCTCACTGACATAACTCCCATCTGCGAAGTTCCTTTCCCACACCAGAGCCTAGAGGGACCCAGCCTAACAGATTTTGTGTGCTCTATCCCTGCAGTGGGACAGTGAGGGAACTGGAGCGCCCGCGCATGATCCCCAAAGCTGGAGGAGGGAGAGCCTGAGCATTGAGCATTGGGGGCCGGATCCAGGCAAACCAGGGGCCACATTCAGCTCCTGGGCCTGAGATTCCCCATCCCTGTGCTAGAAGGTATAAAAGGAATTTTGAGACTTTTACTTTTATATTAACTCTATGCAGCTAGAAATAAAAAGTATCAACTTTTCTTTCAAAATAATGTCATTCTCTTTGCTGTTTCTCTTATTGAGCAGCCCTCTTCCTGGATGGAATCTTTATAAAGGCCTATTTCTGGGGAAAGAAACATTGAGTTAATTTTTCTTTCTAATTTTCCCAAAAACTTATTTTAATTTTGATGAGGAAAGGTATGCTGTGTGTGGTTAGTGTGCAGGATAGCCCAGTACCGCTGTGTATGTCATACCTTTTCCAGGATGCTGCACCTTACAAGATGATGTGCTGCTGGAGATCCTGAAGTAGAAGAGAGCACAGTTATTCTAGGACTGAAGGAAAACACTTTCTGTCTGCACCAGGGATCTCCTTCCTTATCTTGTGACAGATGTACTGATAAAGGACTAGAGAGGCTTGCTAGTTATAAGGGAGGCAGAGGGAGACTTACTATATCCGGGTATGTCTACACTACCCCGCTAGTTCGAACTAGCGGGGTAGTGTAGACATACCCGAGAGCACAGTTATTCTAGGACTGAAGGAAAACACTTTCTGTCTGCACCAGGGATCTCCTTCCTTATCTTGTGACAGATGTACTGATAAAGGACTAGAGAGGCTTGCTAGTTATAAGGGAGGCAGAGGGAGACTTACTATATCCGGGTATGTCTACACTACCCCGCTAGTTCGAACTAGCGGGGTAGTGTAGACATACCCCACTTGCTAATGAAGCCCGGGATTTGAATTTCCCGGGCTTCATTAGCATAAGCGGGGAGCCGCCATTT